GAGAGATTCGCCTGAACTCCACGTCTACCTGAAGATTTATGTCCATTTTGTTTGGGATTAACACAGAATAAGACTAATCCTACCCCCGAGTTCTTCTTAGTCTAAACAGTCTTGGTGGCTTATTCACAGCCACTCATACTCAAGTAGGTGCCCAGACCCTTGGCTGTCCCCGTCATTCTCCTCTGTCACGCTCCAGTTCATCAAGCTTCCCCCTAAAAGGTGTTCCAGGGCTGTGGGCACTGTCCTCATGCTGGGTGCTGTCGCTCTGTGAATGTGGGCAAAGTTGGTGCGTTGGGTAGTCCCGTGACGTCACTGCCTCACATGCGCCCTTTTCATCTCTCCCAGAGGGAATTCCTCCACTGGGAAGTGGGAATGTCACGTTTCACCTACTGCTGGGGCATTCACATGTGGGTGTTTGGTGAGTAACCATCTACAAAGCTGTGAGCTTCTTGGGGGAAAACTGCTAACCAGAGTTCAACCCCTTAGGAGCTGGTTGAGAAAAGCAAGGGCTTGGGAAAGGGCTGAGAGCATCAGGCACCTTGCCCGGGTGCTGATCTAGTGACTTATTTCTATTGCATTGGAGTCGAACCTGCACTTGGGAGTAGGAGGCCCTGTGGGGGTGCAGAGGCTGCTCAGCTGTCTTTCAGCAGTGGCAAGAATCCTACCCTGCAGGCAGCCCACCTCTTCTCTCTCCTCCCTGGGGATGAATCAGCTGGTGGGAACCACTGGTGCCCTGGCAAAGAAGACAAAACAGCTGACCAGCGAGGCTGACGCCTCCACTGAGACATCACAGCTGAATGGAGGCACTGTGCTTTCTGTTGAGGCAACTTCCATAGCTGAACCATCATTTTAATCCAAATATAGCTCAAACCCCTCTACTGCATCTGCCCAGACTGGCAGGGTGGTTATTCCTGAAAGTGGTAAGACTGTCCAGAACCTTCCACCAACTTTCTTGGTTGGATGGGGAGCCATTTACAGCACCAAGGGGTGAAAGGCAAATTATTCTGTGCTGACAGCTTTGGAAAGAACCAGGGCCCAGTCCTCCTTCCAGAGAAGGCTTCCACACTCTAAAATGGGGCAGTGTGGGGGCGCTGCCTTCCCTGCCTTCTCATATCCCTTCCTCTGCCTGCATTCTGAATGCTGCATGTGTGTGCTCCCCGCTCCCATCCTGCACTGAGTCAGCACCCTGGAGAGCTGCACCCCACCCCCTTCCTAGCGGGTGAGGTCAGCACAGATGCTGACCTGCCCAGCCCCAGTACACCATGAGGGAAGGAACCACAGACTCCAGGCAAAGCTCCCAAGAACTGAACTGAATGATGCTCATGAAGGCTGTGGAAAGCTTCAGAACCCAAGGGGCCTGGGGAACAGGGTTCCAAAGGGCAGCTTCACCAAAAACAAATCTCACTGTGGGCACGCGTATGGGTGTGGCATTGTTCAGCACTTAATAGCAAATTGCTTCACAGACACAGAATTGTAATCTTCCTAAAGGGCAGCCATTGCAAGACTTGAGTGAAGTGTCACTTCCCTGGAGCCATTGCCCCAGAAGCTACGATGCTGCATTATTGAGAGCTCCAGACTCAAAGGAGTGGTCAAGCCTCTGATAGGAGGTGCTTCTGTTTTCAGATCCAAATTCAACCAACTCAGGCTCCTGTGATGCAGCTCTCCACCTAACCTGGCGCTGAGCACAGAATACATTTTCTGCCTTGCATGCACAGGGGAAAGCACCTGCATTGTCCGAGAGAGGCTCAGATGGGGGCCCAGCCCAGGGAACAGCTAGGTAGCTCAGCAGCAGAGCCCCAGCCTCTGGCCTCTCTCCAACCCACTGGGTCTCCGCAGCAGGGTGAAAAATGAATCACTTGGGGCTTAAAATGTAAAATGTGGTGCCCCACCAGAGAGATTCTGGCTTGGTGTAGATCTGGGGTGGTGCTCTTGTGCACTGGAGAGTTCCACACTGCCGGAGCGCGGGTGCCACTGGCTGCCCCCACACTGTCACCGGTCTGGAGATGTCCCCGAGAGCTGAGCTCATGCAGCAGTCTCTGGCTCTTACTGAGGCAGCCCCCTTGCCCAGCTACAGGCTGTCCTTGGCTCCTGAAGTCATGGACCTGGACACACAGCAGCTTTCCTCACAACCCCTGCCATTTTCTCATTGGTTTGCAGGAGGCTAAGGGAGTGTGGTTGAATCTGGTCTCCCTTTGGAAAAACTGAAAGCAGAAGGCATACACCTTTCTGTTGGGCCCGTGTGCTCCCTGTTAGAAGAACAAAAGGTAGTCTGATAAATGGCCCACATTCACGGGAGTTGCCCTGGGAGATGGAAGCCCCTGTGTCTGGCCTCAAGATGGACAAGCCTGTCCTTACCTAGCAGTGGGGAGCAAGCAGCGCTGGTGCCGTAAGGCTGTGGTACCCTGACCTCTGCTTGACGCCACCAAGGGGGAGGAATGCTCCTCCCCCTCGGTGCATTCCCGCAGGAGCACTGCTGAGGTTTCCTCTACAGGGACAGTGCCACAGTCTGGCCATGGATAGGTTAAATAGGTTTCTAACGGGCTATCCTGGACATCTGCCTATAATGCAGGATACAGTTACTCTGGGAAACTATATTCTGAACTCCTCAAATCAAACTGTGAGCAATCAGGGAATCTATTTGTGAGTTAGGGACTGCTCCTATGATTCAGTTCTTGAATGCTTCCAAGGAGTTTGGGGGCAAAGCCTGTGCCCTGATTCCAAAGGCCTGGCACAAATGTGTTCCTGGGGACCTCAGCAACACCCTCATTGAAATACTCAGGCACCTCCACTCCTCAGGCTGATGGCCAAGTCATGTCAGGCCCCTGTCAAGGGCCTGTGAATGAATGGATGGTGAAGGCTCCTTGGGACCGTGACCCTTGTGCAGGGGGCGTCCAGTTGTTCTACTGACCAACCAGGAAGCCAAAAGCATCACTGCAGAGCTCTGAGTTGGAGGACAGAAAAATAATTTTCTTTAACTACAAGAATGTTACTTTTGTTTTCACTAAGGTGATCCAGTGAATGGTAAGACATTTTACTGGAAGATATTTACAGATGAAAAGAACCCCACGGAGAACCTGCTTCGGGTTATTTTCAACCATGGCACAGATTCAGCCCAAATAATTTTAAGAAGTATTTAGTGAGTAACCAGATTCAATGTCCCTCATTCAAATTTGGCTACATGTCTGATGTTATATATATTAGAAGACACATACCAAAAAATAATCTTTTTCTTTGGCAGGACTGGAGCATGAAGCAAAAGTAAACAAGGATATAAGGATATAGTTTAAGTTTCAATAGAAAATTCTGTGAAATTGCAAAATATCATCATTGCCAGATGGGAGGAGGTAGAAAGACAGTGCACCCTTAGAAGCAGAAGTTGAGGACTTCGTATTCCTTGGAGAGCTGAATTAATAGCTCTACCAAACTATTTCAGAACCTCTCACTGTAACACATAAATATGCAGAATCTTGAATGAACAATTAGGAAACTGTGGCGCCTTTAAACTCATCATATATCTTTGGGAAGAGGACTGGAACACAGTTCCTGTGAAAGCCATAAAATAAAGGGTAAAGGAGAACTTGAGTCCCACTGTAAAAATTAAAAGCCTTTTCTAGTTTATGTCAGTAACACCTGGCACAGCAGGGTTGAAGGTGTAGGGAGGGCTGTGCCATCCCAACCTGCTTGTAACAGGCAAGACCAGGCCCCAGATGTCCATGGGGCAGACAGCAACGCACAAGCACGTCATCTACTCTCATCCACTGGTGCCTGACCCCAGGACCTCCCCCTACTGTAACCCATTTTCACATAAGGGAGAGTAGGCAGGACTAAAACTTCATATGAAACTCTGAGGTGTGGGGTGCATCTCACTTACAATCCCCCTTTCTTTTAAAATAAACATCAACAGTGCATTTCAAATAAAACCACACCTCCCCAAAGCAGCCTAAGTGGTGAGCTGTGATTTCCCAATAGTGTCCTGAGCCAAAACACATGAGCACACACACAGGAGCAGATCCAGACTTGCCAGCCCCACAGAGATTACACAAAGCTGGGCCCCAAACATGGAGTAATGTGAGAGTGTTCAAGGTGCTGAACATTCCATCGAGGGCCTGCGTGTCAGATGCACTTTTGCATTCCCACAGGTCTGGCACAAGTATCCCTCCCAAGGCCCTCAGTTAAATGCAGGTTTTATGCTACCAAAAAGCCACACCAACAGCCTCATTTTGGCTCTTGAGCCTTTTGAGGACAAGACTGCTGTATGCCAATCCTCCTGTGCCTCCTGCATCCCACCTGCTCTCTGTGCAGGAAATGATGTACTTGTCCTGCCAGGGTCTCACACACACACACACAGAGTAAGTTGAGAATAAAACACAACTCCCATAAACAGGAACTTTATTTAACTACATGTTAGATAAAAGGACATATAAATGGACCTTTAAATACATTCAGTTCATCTGAAACAAATTTATATAGAAACCTATTTACATTTCTCCATTATATACTTAAATTATTTTTAAAAGCTTACTACCAATAAAAGGTAATAAATGACCACCTGCTTACACAGATGCATACACGTAAGTTGTCCACAGGGCTAAGTAAAACTTCCCAAGAAACTCAGCTTATTAGATTTCAAAGCAACAGCATGTTCTGAAGGTGCTTTCTTCCAAGCCTTTAATGTGAAGCCTCTGCTGTAGAGATGCTGGAGGTTGGCTTGGAGAAGCTGATTCCAGAGCAGACGGGTCCTTGGTTGTTTGATGGCTCAAGCTTCTGGAACTAGAAGGACCCTTGCAGACCATCACTGAGGCCATGCCCCCACTTCTGCTGACCGGGAAACAGAGGCTTAGGGAGAGGGAGGCACCTGCTTAAGTATCTGCAATGGAGCAGGGACTGGGAACCCAGTTCCCAGGGCCCACCCAGGGGTCCTGACCCTGCCATTATCCTAATTTTTGACCTCTTTCACCCATTTCCACCCACCAATGGGGCCTGTTTTGAACTCTGTTGTCTATAAGGTTAAATATGATTTCTTAGGCTTGTTGAGATGGTGAAAAACAGTGCAGGATTCCCATGACCATCTTTGTGGAGCCCTGGAAACACCTACACAGGGTTATTTTTACAAGAGGTTTTGTGGCCTGGTGCCCTGCTTTTTCAATAACAAAGCTGACCATTTCGATTTAGCTGACTTATGGGAGCTCAGAGTTTCTAATTAATTTGGATGGACGGCAGCATTCTATAGAAGGGAGACTGTAACATCAACCACATAGATTCATCACAAATACACTGTATTTGCTGAAATCTGTCCACCCCTGCTGAATTTAAAGCAAGGTTTCACTAACAAGTGACCAAAAGTGAAAAAAAGGATTATTTCAGGAATTTCCCCATTTCCCAATTAGTCTCAGAGAGAAGTAATGGAATGGACACTGGGTATAAATAATACATGTTTTCCCCTTTCTTTTGAATGAAGCCTGACTTTTCTTCAAAATTTTCCTGGTGATATAAATTATTCTGAAAGCAATTTCCTTTTTTTGGTCTGTTTTTCAAAACTTGATTTGGTTTTCTCTGGACTTAAAAACCATTGCACCAAAGAATAGATGTTAACATTAAAAAGTATCATCACTGAAAGAGAGAAACAAGACAGAGACCTCCAGGCTCCAGGTCACATTAGCAAAGAAGGAAGGGCTGGGAGAAAGAAGGGCTTATTTTTCCCTGTAACTAGAGTGAACACAAGTCATAGCAGCCTTCACTCAGTTTTACAAGATACAGAAATGGGAAAACATGGAGTAGGCAAGATGTGCTCAACTGAACAGCCCCTGATGCCTTTCCATTCAATATGGCACTTCTAAATTCTGGAAGATCCCAGGGGCTGCCGCCCATCTGCCAGGGAGGCACTGCCCGTGGTGCCTGCCCTGAATACATGGGAGCATCCAGTTTCCATTGGCCAGTCTCGCTTTCCCTCCTGCTCACATGCAAAGCCTCACCCAAAGTCACACTAGGAGAGAGGAGCTAGGCAGAGTCTTCCAGGAGGCCTGCCAATCACAGAATCTACCAAGGGCCGGCCAGGAAGTCCAGTCACCAGCAGTGGATGGTGTGTGGGCAGGTGGAACCCTGAGGCCAGAGAACACAAGAAGATAAAAATATCTTCCTATTAAGGGTTTATTTCAGTTGCTTTTTTTTACCCCGGGGAGGCATTTCATTTTGCAAAAGGAAACGACCTAAAACAACACTTAATTTTTATAGTATTAAAAAATAAGTCTCTTGACATATAAAAACTGGCCAATTCTTTTTTCACTCGTTATGTAAGAATGCCATCTCACACGTCTGAGTCTTTCGTGGGGGTCTCTGCTTTGGGGAGGGGTGTGTGCGGGGGTGCCAGCCCATCACAGTACTGGATGTGTGTCCTGGCGGGGCTCCACAGCAGGGTCCACGCAGCAGGTGGCAGTCTCCCGACCTGCGGGACTGTACCTTCAGTGCCAGGAGTGTTAGCAGGTGGCTCCAGTGAACTACTGTAAGTGGTACACAGACATGCGGGGCTGGCCCTCACGGAACCCAGTCCTCACCACCTGAAGCCCAGGAGGTGAGAGAGGGCACCCATCACTTCCGCGGGGGAGTGAGCATTTTCCCGAGCGTGGTTTGATTTGAGTGTTTCAGCCTGAAGGAGGCCCTCCCCGCAGTCCCTCGGCCCTTCTGGGGGGACTCTGCGTTGGCACGGGGGCCCTCGGCAGGGTCTGGGTACTTTCTGGGGGCCCGGGCACTGCTGGCCCGGCGCAGGGCACTGCTGTCCTTGGGGGTGGCGTCCTCAGGGCCGCCCTTCATCCGCAGCTGCCGCTGCGAGGCCGTCCGCGTGAGGCCGGGAGCTTTGGCCACAGGAAGGGAATCCGTTCTCGTGCACCGAGACGAGGAGGCCACCGTGTTTCGGGCGAAGCTGGGCACGGGCGGCGGGGCGCGGGGGGCGCTGGGGGCCGGCGGGGGCTTGGGCTCCTCCTCAGGGCTCTGGGCGCTGGCGCGGCAGATCTTGTTTTCTTCGGGCTTCTGCCTGGGGACATTCCGGAGGGGCTTGGCGCTCGGCTTCCTGGGGGAGGCCCTGGGCGGCGGCGCCGGCTCTCTGCCCAAACGAGCTCCGCCGCTTGGCCCGCTCACCCGCGCCGGGCCCTGCTCCTCGGCCGCCGGGGACCTCTTGGGCGACGGGTCCGAGGCGCCCGCCGCCGAGCTGTGGCGCGGCCATGGCGCGTCGGGGCCGTCGCGCGGGGGGCGCCTCCAGCCGGCAGAGGCCCTGCGGGCGCGCGAGATGGGCACGACTCTGCGCATGATCTCGCTCTCCGACGGCGACAGTGTCCGCACTGGCCTGGGGCCCCGCGGGATGCCGCTGGGCCGGGGGGCCCCCGGGGCCGCCTCTCTGGGGGGGTTTCTCTTTGGTGCCATCGCGTCCTTCCCTTTGGCGGGTCTGTCCCTGGTAAGGCCGCCCTTGCAGCTGGGTTGGCTCTTCCCGGGGCTGGGGGCGGGCGCCTTCCCGGTGGGGCTGCGAGTGGGGACGGAGGGCATCTGGCTGCCGCCCGTCTCAGAGGGCACAGAGCCGTCCCCTCCGGTCCCGGGCCCCCGGGCCCCCTCTCCAGGTCTGGAGTCAGTGCCCTCGGAGCAGTCCAGGGTCAGCGAGCAGTCGGTGGCGTCCGACATGTAGAACAGGGGCCCAGGATCTTTGCTCTCGGGGTCGCTGCTGCCCGCAGATGCTGGATCTGCGCCGCTGTTGGGGGCAGGCCCCGCAGCCCCCACAGGCCGCAGGCTGCTGTCGCCTGCCCCGAGGGACGCCGGCTCTCCGGGGCTGAAGTCATTCAGGGTCAGCCCGGGTGTCTCCTCTGGGCCCTTGGGGCCCCGGAGGTCGAACTGGGCCAGCCCAGTGACCAGCTCGTGCTCCCTAATCCCCAGAGCCAATGGCGAGAGCGGCGGGGACCGAGCGGGACCCAGGCCCACAGGCTCGCTGTGCCTCTTCCGGAGGACGCCGACCCCACCACGCCTCGCTCGGGCGCAGCCGGACGCAGGTTCCTCAGGCCGCGGGGCTGTGAGGGGCCAAGCTGAGGGTGGGTCGGGGCCTTCCTCCTGGCCCCCCAAGGCCGGAGGTCTGTGTGTACGGTTGGAGTCCTGCTCCCTCGGCTCTCCAGGCTCCGTCCCGGCTGCCGAGGGCCAGGCCTGCCAGGGGCTGCTCCGTGGCAAGCTGTTGAACTTGTTGGGCTCCTCCTGGCTGCCGGCGGAGCTTTCCAGGAAGGTCAGCAGCTCCCGGTCAGCGGAGGTGCCCAGGGAGAGGCGGGAGCGGCGAGTGTTAGGGGGTCTGTAGGAGGGGCTGAAGGGCCTGGGGTGCAGGAAAGGGGGCAGGTCCTCCGCGCCCTTCTTGCTCAGCAGCTCCACGTCATTCTCACTGCTGCTCCGGCCGAATCCCCCAAGCTCCCCAGTCGCCCAGGAATGCCGCTTCTGCTCCAGCAGCTTCAGCCGCTGCAGCTGCCTCCGCTCCTGCACCTCCCGGTGGTGGTTGTCCTGAAGGAGGGGTAGAGAGAAGCCCAAGATGCATGAGACACATGGGGCCCATGTGCAATTCCAGAGCCAGCTGTCCTGAGACCCCCTGAGAGACACATGCATGGAGGAGAGACCTGGGTCATGGGCGTGTGTGTGTACAAGCACGTGCGGGTAACACTAGGTTCTCCCAAAGCTACTTGGGGATCTGACCTGAGGAGAGCATTTGCCCTGGCCCCTGTAAGTTAGCTAAGGTTGTCTTCAGATCTCCGGGCTAACCCCAGCTTTCCAGTCGAGGCATTGTCCCCTCAGTGTGGGATGTGATTCCCCACGTGCTCATGGCCTTGACTTCTGGGAAACCCAGTTTCGTTTTTAAGTGGGGCAAGACAGAAAGGGGCTCCTGGAAAGTGTTGTTTAGGTGATCGCAGAGAGAAAAATATTTGGTTGTTATAATACTAAATACTATGGGAGCCTAAATTTGTACTTCTGTGTTGTATGTATACATCTACACACACACACACACACACACACACACACACACACACACCCTCGCTCATGGGCAACACATTCTACCTATATGTAACAATGGCTTAGATGCTTAAATGTACACCCAAGATATTAAGAGAGGCCTTTCAATCTCTGTTCTCTGAATGCTCTCTGGTAAATAAACACCAGAAAGGACACGGTGGCTCTGTCCCTCATGCCCCACCCCTTCCCACAATCAGAGAAGAGAATTTGCTTTACAAATCCTTCTGCCTTTCACCTTGCCCCACATACCCAGTCCTCCCCAACACAACTGAACCAGAACAAGCGCACAAAGCCCAGCACACGTTACCGCCTGTGTGTGCACTTCAACCAAATATATTTGTGTCACATAAATGTGTGGCTCTCACAACCCAAATCTGTTCTCACTATTAGCACTTCTTACTTGAAAATCAACTTCCTCAAACAGTAGATTTTCCCTTCCAAGTTTCTGTGAGGCTTTGGCTCTGGCTGGAGACCCTGGGGACCCTTGGGCCCTCTGCTTCTCCTGCAGCCTTGGCTTCAGCCTCCCCACCGTCGGTCCCCTGCTCTCTCAGGCCTTCTCCTTTCAAGGCTGCCTGCAGTGGGGGGTGGGACAGCTCCTGGCTCTCTGAACAGCTGGGCTGAGAGCATCGCACAGGTGGCCTGGCAGCCTGGAGAATTCTGACTGGGAACGAGGACCTCAGGAAAAGCCAATTTGGCCTCTGCTACCCACCACCACTTCCCCCTGCTGAGCTCACTGCTCGGACAGGGGAGAGGAAATGTGGCCACAGATTTAGCTTCTTTTCTCTTAGCTGGATAGAGGAAGGAGGGGCTGAGAACTCAAGTAACTCTGGCCTACAAAGGGCTAGAAGGAAATTTAACTAGTGCCCCAAAGAAATTCAGCTATGGTCAAATCTGCATTTTAAATGGAGGGAGAGAGACAATGAACAAGTACTTCATTCCTCATCACCACTTGAAACAAAGGGATGTTTTATTTTTAATTGTCAGATGAAAGTTTTATTTGCAAAGATAAGCAACCCAGAGTTTTCTGGCTTCTGCACTGAACTCAGGAAATCACTAAAATTGGAGTTTGAAAGGCAAGAAATGTAGCTGCTATGCTTAAGCAGCAGCAGGCTCCCTAAATATTTGAGGATTTCAAAGTCTGCTCTGGTTGCAGACAACATGAGCCCCATGGGGCCAACACCATGGCCATGGCTATGGTGCTCAAAGCAGGTGAGAGATGGCCTCCCCACCAGCGCACAGCAACTTTGAAAGAGGGAATTCTCTCCTGGCCAGGGGCTGAGAGATTCAGGATCCTTAAAGAGCCCTTATAATATCATGGCGATCATGGAAAGTAAACTTGACTAACACAATGCTTTTAGGGTATCAAAGCGAGTGTTGGTGTGAGCAGCAAAGTAGGGGAGGCAGCCAAATGTTAGACTCTCGATGATACAGAAGCGCTTCGGGCTGGGACGGCAGAACCACTTCTCATTAATCCTGAGAGCTTAACAACACTGCCCGGGCCAGACTTTCTTGAAACAGCAGAAATGCTGAACCATCTTTCTGCTATAGGCAGAGGGCTGGGTCTGAAAGAAGCAAAATAAAAATCTATACAACTCAGAAAACAGAGATGTCATCAGCCATACCGTCACTGCTTTGTTGAATCTGATACAAAAGTCTCTAAATATCTGAAGGCATTCATCCAATTTCATGGTTTCTTTGTCTTCGCAGAAAAAATCTATAAGGGTGTGGGCTTCCTCCTGGAGCTCTTGTTTCCAGTGCTCCAGTTCTGTCAGCTTTTCCACAGCGAACTGCGGGAAGACAAACAAGGACACGCTGAGGAACACAGCTGGGTGATGAGGCGCTCAGCCTCTTGTCCAGGGCTCAGGGAAGACATGCTCCCAGGTTCAATTTCAGGTCTCAGAAAAGGAAGGTTTATTGCAAATCCTATGCACTCGGAGCCAAGAGGAAAATAATTCAACACAAACAAAACCTTGGGGAAGCCGGGTGAACTCCTGTGTGAGGCCTGGCATCACCCACAGAGACTGAGGAGCTTTAACTTGTAGAATGCCACTGACACAATATCTACCTCTAATGTCACTGAAAAGGTGACAAAGATGTATGTTGGTTTTATTAAGTAAAACCCATTCTGCTCCTGTTCTTCATTCCTTTAAAACTGAGCCTTGTACAGGCCAAGAGTTCACATTAGGGCCCCTGGTGGTCCTGACAAGCTGTCCTGTGGAGACAGAGTTTCAACTTACTCCCAAATGATCTGTATCAGGACAGGTTACCCCCAGAGGACTGACATCCCTGTGCCTTGACAAATGCCCCGGCCAGGGCTTCTTACCCTGGGGGTGCTCATCCAAGTGAGCTGAGAAGCTCTGCCTACAGCCCATGCCTGCACTCTAGTTGTGCAGTTCAGTAGGTTTGGGTGGACCTACCATTAATATTTTATAATTCCCCCAGGAGATTCTGATGAGTACCCATGGTTACCAATTACTGCCCTATACCAATCCATCTTATTTCCTTCATTTTCTCCTAATTCTTCTAGGACAAACTCCAAGGCCCCTAACAGGTTCAGGTAGAAATGGACATGAAAGAAGCTTGCTTTCCTCCAATGAGCTCCCAACCCTTTCAGAATGGGGATCTATCAGGGGACCAAACACACCTTCTCTGACCAGCATTAATGTTGAACCGAAATGAGGCAGCAGGCCTGAGGAGCCACAGCCCTAAGCAGTCTGGATATTTGGGGTCACCCTGGAATCTCATGTTGCTTTTTCACTGGGGAACAAGGCTCATACAAAGAAGGAGTATATGTAAAGCATATTCATTTATAAATCACATACATCATGTTTTTAAAATGCCTTATATTTGAGAAACTTGTTTTTGAGTGGGGGACAGGCCTAGGGAGTGGTGAAGCGCTAGGTGGCCCCACCTCAAGGAAGGGGATCCTGCTTGAACACGCTCGGCGAGCTCCAGAACCTAAAGAGAAATTCCAAGCAGACTCATAACATCCCTCCCACTCCAACACATTTTCCCCTTTAAAAGCCCTTTTCTTACACCAAACATTCAAGAGGTAGTAAGAAAACAAAACTATTTAGGAAACCAAATACCAGAGAAAGTAACCATCTGAGTCAGAAGCCCGAGGCAGTGTGTGTGCATTCACGCTGTAGTTTTCTTATGGAGGGAAAGGTATTAACGAAGGATAAATCTTTGCCTGTCATTCTTCCATAGGGGGAAAAGGAGATTCCAGCCAAGAACAGCTCAACTGCAGAAAAACAGGACTCTTGACAAGAATCTACATGGGAGTTTATCACCACCTTGTATGGCTCATCATTAGATGGTGTGGGGACCAACGGGACACCAGGAAGGGGGAACTTAAACACTCTGCGTCAGCCTTAGGACTTGGGCAAATGAGACATGTGACTATAGACCTGAAAAATCACTGAGCCCAGAGTTATCTGCCAACAGTGAGTTTTCTACACAATTAGGGCCACAAATGAAAAAATCCAAAGCTATACTGGCCAACTGTGATTGACGACAGCAGTACGGCTTCAAATTCAACTTCCCATCTCTAACTTGTCTGCTATGGACCAAAATCCCAAACCAATTTACTCGGTATTTCTCACCAAAGGGCCAAAATCCTGACACAGATCTGCACAACTGCGTTCCTGTCATTTTCCTGCTCAGAAACCTTCAGGAGTTCCCCTCAGCTTACAGCACAAGCCAAAGTTTTCAGACTGGCATTCACAGCCCTCCATGGCCTGACCCTAACCTACCTTAAAAAACTATATATCTCCTATTTTAAAAGATTGAATTTAAAAAAGAAAAAAAAAATAGCCGTGTGGAGCTTTTTATTAACAAGATAAAAATGACTACCATGTTTCTTTCTGGTTAAAATGAGGTAGCCTTTGAAGAGCAGGTTAGAGCAGCAGCTAACATAGAGCTGCTTTTCAACAGAAGCCTTTCTGTGCTACTATTTGGCATAAGATACTAATATTTCAAATAAGGACTGGGGAATGAGATATCCAGGAATCTCATCTTGATGTGCGATGGGCCTTTTTCTCTAAATTGCTGGATTTGTTTCATTTGTCTGAATGTGCTGACTGCTTAGTGATTTCCTTCTTCCTGTTAGTGGTGGCATTTACTTTGTTGTTTCACTTTGAGAAAAATTTGTGCACTTGAAAGGGAAAATTGGAGTTAGGTTACATTTGAAAGAAAATACAAAAAATATATTTAATAATAAAAATAAGCTCCCAGCAGAGCCAAACAAAACATGTGCTGATCGGCACTCACAGTATTTGATGTAGCTGGAGCACCAGTGAATGACTAAAGGCTTAGGTGGGTACGACGTTCGGAGCCCACTGTTCCTTCCCAGTGCCCAGGGCAGCTTGCCACAGACATTCTACCTCTCGAGTCTCAAAGCACTGACATTTAAGGTAGTACACCCCTTTGCTGAAGATGGAAAAAATACCACTTTTTTTTAAAATAAGGAAGATAAAAGAAGTACATCGGACTATGTGATTAGTGAGTCACAGTGACCTGTCACAAACATGTCCACTCTGCTGTTTTCTGTTGATGTTATTTGGAGCAGCTCCTGACACACCCTGTAGGGCTGATGTACTTTGGGTGTTGATCAGCACGGCGATCCTGTGCTCCTGCTGTCATTATAAAACATGCCAAAACCAAGCTTGTTTCTTCAATAAAAACAAGGGAAGGAACAACAGCCCAAATTCTCAGGTGTCTTTATGACTTCTATGGGCCTGTGTTGTCCAAAAGTTTGATTAGGAGATAGGAACTCCTACACTATGGTCTAGAACTAAACCTTGAGTGGCCAGGTGGAACTTATGCCACCAGGCATAAGTTGCCAAGGGTGGATAAGCAGCATAAGCTGATCCCAGCTCAGTCTGGTGTTGGTGCAATCATGCAAAATGAGCAGGGATAAACAGAGGCCCAGCCCCTAATGTCCTCTGATGAAAAACCCACCCAGCAAAGAATGGGCCCTGAAATATAAAGTTCCTTTTACTGACTTGGCAGGGGGGGTATGAATGGGAGCTTGCTGCTTCTGCAAACACACCCATGCAAATCTGGCTGGAGGATGAAATCAGAAGGTCTGAGCTCAACAAACCTGAAGAAAATCCTGCATCTGCTGACAAAGTTCACCATCCCGCTGGATGTTTTCCTGTAGCGATCTTGTTCTGACAAACAGCGAGTGCAATTCCGCCTCCGTGTTATCCAGAGATAATCTAAAAGAAGAAAGGGGAAAGTAGGCAGTTGGCACGGGAAGCCGTGTGTCATGTGGGTACATTGAACAAGACTGTTGGTCAACCCTACAAACAGAAGGGAAGAGTTACTACGATTACATTTACCTACTCCTGTATTTAAAGTTCCTTCCTGTGTTTTTTTTAAGAGCCAATGTTTTCCTAAAGACACACACTGGTTCAAACAGAACCTGCAGTGACCTTGTTCCCACCAAAACCATGGGACTTGCAAAGCTATTCACAGACAAGGTCTGAACACTTTTACGCAATAAGCATTCAAGACTAAAAGCCAGCAAGACTCAGATACTTCCACTCTCCTCTAGCCAATAAACACGGATACAAATCCTTTAACTCATGCAAAGCAAGGCAGCGTATGTTGATGATCCCGACATTCAGGGTAAGGAGTTACTAAGCAACAACTTCATGTGGCTTGCCACAGTCAGCCAGAGTGAGCACTCTATGTTTTAGAGAGAACTAATACACAGCTAACAATTCTGCAAAGAAATGGTAGGACCAATTGCAAGGCTTTTGTTAAATACATCAAATTGAGTTCAGTAGTAGAGATGCATGAGGTTTTGCCACCAGGTAAGGTGCATAGGTGAAATTTAAATCCAGGTGGAATTCAATCAGCAAATTCATAAATTAGGATGCTAACCTCATTCCCTTGCCAACTCTACCTTTTCTTTATGCAATAAAGTTTCCCATCTTTACTGGTCACTGGCATTCATCTAGGCTCTGTTTGTACTTCATCTTCCATTTCAAATAAACATACTTTACTAAATAGGTTTATCCCAAGATAATATCTAGCTAAACTTCCCCATCTAACTCTAACCAGAAATGGCAGCTCCAAAATATAATGGTTTTGTATATATGTGTATATATATATATATCTTTCTGTACTAGTTGGAGGAAAAAATATTCCTGCACAAATTTAGTAATTCAAAGCCCAAACAGTTTATACCTTGTAAGATGTTCATTCTTTTGGAAGAATAATCTGGTGATCTGTAAATATGAACTGTTCACACCCTAGGACTGATAATTGCGTTTTGGGCAAGACATGTGATCTGTAGTTAGATGTTCATAGTCAGTAACATTGAGATACTGGCCAATGACAGGGCTTGGCTTGAAAAGCTATGTTTTCTATGTTTATGCATATGGTTCACAGCTGTCCTAACTGGATACAGTCACTCAGATAATAAGTATATGACATGAACTGGGTTGATGCATGGAGTGGAGTGATGGAGCAGATCCCAGGCGGGGCCTAAGGGTTTGGGTGTCTCCTCCCAACTCCACATTTGGTAACACCATGTTGGTAACTTTAAAATCAGCCATGGTAGCAGTATTTACACCATGGAAATCGGCAAATGCTGCAAGTCAGGACTTTTTTCCCAAAAGGCTAATTATAGAACATCTACTATTGGATGCACAAGTATGTAAATTTAAAAACAAAGAACTCAAAATGACATGTATACACAGATTACAGCTACATTAAAACACACATCTGTACTAGGATCAGAATCAAACTGATGCAAACAGACCTTTATGTTTGGTAGATATTTTCTCTGTAAAGCTGAGGGACTAATTTAAAACAAAGTCCTTTCACAGCTTTGGCATGGTTCCAACTTCTAATGCAATAGCAAATAAATGTACTGTGTTAGATTCTAAAAGGAAATGGTGATGTATGGTCCTGGAAGGTTGTCTGATACATACCAACACCCAAGATAACAGACTGTGTGGTTAGAGCTCTATCTTTTGGGTGTAGAGGGGTTTGAAGTTCTTAATCCGTATTTTTTTTACACTGATGATACTTAGTAGAATAGAGTGCAGTAGGGTTTTTTGAACTGAAAATAAAGATTAGTTTTTCAAACCCCCAAATTCCAAAGATGCACAAACATCTCTGTAAGCACACTTACAGAGGTCTGCAAGTTCACCAAGACAAAACTTTTTAAAGTTCAAACTTGAATCCAAAAATTATAAAATATTCATCAGTTTTCATAAGGTAGTAAAAAAAAAAACCCTTGAATTCTTACAATTCACTTTCCATCTTTGTTGCTTACCTAGCAGCCTCCTGAACATGGTGCAAGTTTTCAGAAAAGTCTAGAAGAATGGCATCTTTCTTTTGGGCTTCCTGGAACAAAAACAGACGTTCCTCTCACTATATGGACAAACTGGAAGGAGACAATTTTCTCAGGGCTTAAAAGAATATCAAAATGAGTTCCCATTTTTATGCTTAATACATCCAAAGCAATTCACTGCAACATGAACTCTGATATTCTTAGTAAGATTTACCAGAACTGCCCTACTCTCAAGATACATTTAACTCCCCAGAGCAACTGATCCTGACGTGAAATACAATTCATGTGCATGAAAACTCAAAGGAAAGGGGTGGCAGCTTACCAGGGCCCATTGTTTCTCAGAGAATCCAATATATTCCTGCTTAAATACCTCCCAGACCCATGAGTGTGCCTTTAAACAACCGAGATACCTTCAGCTGTTAAACCAGTTTGCAAACTTAGTTTAGCAGAAGGTGCACAAGCCACAGAGATGTTTGGATTCTTCCTGTTCAGAGGGCACAAGGAAGGTAGCTATGAAGGAAGCAATTACCAACTTGAGAAACTTCCCCACATGGCAGGGCCAGGCTACACAGAGCCCCTGATACACAGGTCTGGAAAGGCTGCCAGGTGACTGCCTGCTAGGCCTGTGGGGTGAGGAGCACACTGTCTGGTTTTAATGTTCTAAAAACTAACTTTCAGTGAGTCCTGAGTTGACATATCCCCTGTCTTTGGAAGAATACAGTATAACAGTGCGTCCTATTCATCGAGAGCTTACTGCATGTTGAACACCGAGCCACTCACTTTACGGAATTATCTCCCTCAGCACTCTCAGTTACCTGGTTTTGAGGGGAGTATCACCACCCTTATGAAGAAATTGGGGGTCTTAAGGCTTAAGCCACCTGTCTGAAAAAGTACAGCTAATAAAGGACAAGTCAAAAATCTCCCTGCTCTGGCCCGTTCTGAAGCCCACATGGGAAACATGCATGAGCAGGCTTCCTCCCCAGGCTGGAGCCACACCGACGGCTGTCAGTGATGCCGTGATCCAAAGAGGGAAAAACAATTCAGTACGATTCTTCATTTGAGACAACAGAACAGCAGAGATGACTGTCCTTGGCTGACTTTCCACCTTGTGACTGTAGCTGACACTTGAACAACATGGGTTTGCCCTGCCCAGGTCCACTTACACGCAGATTTTTTTCAATAAATACATTGGAAAACTTTTTGGACATGTGACAGTTAAAAAAAACATTTTTTCTTTAACTTGCATAATTGTAAGAATACCACATATAATACGTGTAACACACAAAATGTGCTAATAGACAGTTTATATTATCAGCAAGGCTTACAGTCAACCATAGGCTATTAGCTAAGTTTTTAAGGAGTCAAAAATTGTACATGGGTTTGCAATTGCTTGGGGGTCAGAGTCCCTGACCCCGAGTTGTTCAAAGGTGTACTGTAGTTATTCTGGCATCACATAGGCCCAGTCCAAACTGAAAGTGATGGACAGGGTTGGGGCCCCAAACCCTGTGCCAGCGGCAGGCACTCAGACCCCCAGTCAGAACGAGGCAAAACAGAAGTGATTTTGTCACTTGCTCACACTCCCTCACTCTTGGCACAGAACTAGTCACAGATCTAGTCAGTTCATCAGAAATGTTTCCTCACCCAGGCCTCCACTCTCATTCCTATGGCCGTTACTGTGATTCTCAACTGCCACCAAGCAATTAGACAGCCAACTGCCACCAAGAGGTATGCCTACTGCTCATTCTCTCTCCACTCCAACCCATCCATGTTACCTTCTTTTCCTAGAAACAAACAAACCTGGTCATGCCATTATGCTGCCCACGAAGTCTGTTGGCTCCGCATTGCTAAATCCAAACCCAAACTTGAAATCCAAATCCCCCAGCTTCAGGATTTTAATCTTTAATCTGGCTTCAACTCTGACCTCTGCCTCACTCACCTGACCCAACCACTTGCCTCCAGTCCCACAACCCTAGGCTCCTCTGAACTCAGGAATTTGCAAATAGTGCTCCTGCAAATAGAACCTTCTTGGAACCTGACATGACCTTTCCAAACTCTGTTTGATGCCCCCTTACACGTTGGAAAAACTTTGCCACCTCGCTGGGGATTGGCACCCATTCTCTCTCTCTCTCTCTCTATTAATCACTTCCACATACCTGGGCAACAAAGTGCAGAAGATTCATCCCAGGTTTATTTGCTTTTGTGTCTGCCAATTTGAGCAAAGAAGACAGTTTAAATCCTACTGCATTGCCAGCATACCCTCCCTAAAGAAGACAATCAAAAGAAAAAAGATATATACATGTGCCTTTAGACAGACAAATAAAGTTGGAAACAAAATTTTCATTTGTTTGAATTTTACTTACTGCATTCATGATATTCCCCGCCTGAAGCACCAAGTGTAGGATTGAATGCAGCTCCTCGCATGACATCAGCTCTGTCAACAAGAACAGAGCACAGTACCTTAGAGAAGCCTTCGGCTTCAAGGCACAAAAGAGAGCTACCACATTCAAGTTCAAGGGTCTCTGAAGTGAGCTCTGACATAAATTGCGTATAAAGACTGGAAAAAAAATAATAAAGCAGCACATTCTGCAGTAGAGGTAATGCATCATTCGCCACTGGCATTGCATGTCCTAGTGTTCAGCTGGGAATCCGCTACCTAGGGCACCTCACTGTCACAGAATACTTCAACAGTGAAGACTTCCAAGTGGAGGAAAACGCAAAGGCCTTATGAAAAACAGCACACTGTGTCAGAAGAATAACTTTTTTCTCAGCAGTTCTGCCTTTGTTTTTTCTTCCTTTATATCCGCTAGCCTTTGAGACTATACTTACGTACTATGAAAACTAACAGCGAGTAACGTTTTGCTTAATCAATGAGCTGTGAGGAGATAAAAAATAAACAGGCTGAAATGACACGTAAATAACTTGCAGAGCACCAATCCTTAGGGGCCAGGCCCTCAGAGAATCTTTCCCTTTTATCTAAAATCAAACATTACATTTGGATTGGCTTAAAGACTTAAAAAGGAACCTACTTGTCATTGTAGTATATTGGTAAACAAATTCTTTAAACAGAGCATCGTTTATACCTGTAACTTATTCAGATAAATATTATTAAAAACTGCTAAGTATTTGAAAAGTTAAAATGTTTGATTATTAGAATTACAGTATCTATAGATAAGAAAATATCACCTATGATGTTTTTAAATTACTATTGTCCATTAAGTGTGGCATTACTGTCAAAAAATTACATTTGGATTGCTGCCTATGTTACTTATCTAAGAAGGCCAGTTTTTGAAGGGCACCCAGATAAGAAACGTTTCCACCACACCCACAAATTTGCATTGCTCAATATGAAAACATATTCTTCCATCTCTATTTGAACAAGAGGAACAACCCTTAAAAAGTTTCTACAATAGCCTTGGAATATAGGAAGAAACTTAAAAGGCCTCTATAAATTAATTCTTAGTCTCTTCTAAACAAACAAAAAAAAATATGATGAACTGAAGGGAAAACTTCTCAACAGAGGCCAGAGCAACTAAACAGGGACACCACGGAGGAATGAACAGTTCCACAACAATAAGGAGAAATCCAGAAACAGACTGTGGGGCACCCAGAGGCTGGCACTCATGAATTCTGGACGAGGTGAAGGCCAGGGAGTGCAAAGACTGCCTGGGAGACAGGAGGAGGGGAACACAGAAATGCCGGGCTGGCATTCACTGTGTCAGGAACACCAAGACCCACACTCCCGTCCCTAAGGACTGAGACCTTAAGAGCAACTCTGAGGAGTCTATCCAAGCTGGACAAACAAAACTTGGCAAGGTGCTCAAAGAAATGGGATTGACCGATTTGCCCCTCTCAAACTTGAACAGTCAGTCCATCAGCTGTTAGAGTCCTGAGTGGAAGTAGGTGGGAGAAGACAGACGGAGCAGAAACATGAGGAACCCTGGCAGAGGGGTCACAGCCCCACTGAAGATGCTGGGGGCAGAGGGGTGCAGTGGGGGTCGGGTGTGGGTCAGGGAGGTCTGCTTCAGGAAAAGCAGGGTCCTGGGCACCAATAGAGGCCAGAGCACGGGAGGAAAGACATGCCTACCAAGCTGTGAACACGTGACACCAGGCATACACACTCCGCACACTACATGTACCCAGAAAGCCAAGCGAGGAGGGAACAAGGGTAAGCTGCAACCAGCAAGATTCACTCTGAAGCTTGAGATGAAAGAAACCCCTTCTGCTATGGGAGGATGATATGCTAATCAATCGACTGGTTGATCTGTCAGTTAATTAAGTCATTCATTAACTAAGAGGGAGAGGAAATGCAAATAAACCTTAAATGTATCAGAAGTGGGACTTTGCATTTTTCTCATTCCAACTGAATAGTTTTTTAAAATAAACTGCTACCATTTGACCCAGTAATTCCACTCCTAGGAATTTACCCAAAGAAAACAAAATCTCTGATTCAAAAAGATAAATGCACCCTTATGTTTATCGGTGCACTATTTGCAATAGCCAAGATATGGAAGCAACCTAAGTGTCCATCAATAGATGAATGGATAAAGAAGATGTGGTATATATGCACAATGGAATATTATTCAGCCATAAAAAGAAAAGAAATCCTGCCATTTACAACAACATGGATGGAGCTAGAGGGTATTATGCTCAGTGAAATAAGCCAGGGCAAAGAAAAACAAATACCATATGATTTCACTTATTTGTGGAATATAAAAACAAGACAAAACAGAAGGAACAAAACAGCAGTAGACTCACAGACACAGAAGTGACTAGTCGTTACCAAGGGGGAGGGGTTGGGGCAGGTGGGGGGTGGGAGGGTGAAGGGGATAAAGGGGCACAATAATTCGCAATCACAATATAAGTTGGTCACAGGGATGGTAGTACAGCATGGAGATTATAGTCAATGATTCTGTAGCATGTTACTAGTTGATAGATAGCAACCATACTAGAGGGGGTGAGCATTTAATATAGGTAACTGTTGAACCACTGTGCCATATATTTGAAATCAACAGAGGATTATATATCAACGATACTTTAAAAAAGAGAAAAAAACTGCTACCAAAATTTAAAAAAACAAATTACATGAAGCATCACGAATTTACTTACCTTTTGTAGCAGTTCTTAGAATTGTTATATCTGTGTATAGAGAAGAACAAGAAGGTAAAAATTCCTTCTTTAGCACCATGGCTTCAATCCGAAGTGAATAGCTAAAAAATAAAATGCAAAACTGTAGACAATAATGCCATTCATCAAAAAGCCTGTCTGCCAAGAACAATGATCAGTGGTCCTTACTTTGGCACCTGAATTAAGTAGTGCAGAAAGGAGTCTGCCAGGGACAGCTTGGACACATCTCCACTAAATGTTTTTAATTTCTTTATCTAAAAGACAAACGGAAAAGGGGGGAGAGGAAATATAACTTATGATTAAAAGGTAACATCATGTTAAATTTCATCCTATAATCCCTTTAAGAAAATAGCATTTCTATGCTAAATTCAAATTAATGGAAAGGTAAATCTAAGACAAAAAGTGTCACAACTACTCCTGTGCTTTTTAAAAGAAGACAACACCAATCAGAAAGAGATGAGCCGGGTCACTTATGTGAGTATAAGCAGTCCCATGAACTGCAGCAGGAGCTCTCAAAGAGGAGGCCGCAGTGTGGTTACTAAAGGGAGACGGCAAAGGGTCAGTTCGAAGGATGAACACTGTCTGCAAGTTAACTAGGGAAGGGAGACAGACCATTGTTTGAGAAAAGAAGGACGAAACTGGGTAGTCATCATAACATGGCCCTTTAGGTCATAAATGAAAAAGATCTTATTATTTTGAGTATTTTGGATATTAAATGTGTAGACTAGGTGAGGCCTAACACAGCTCTCCTTCCTGTGGTGAAGCTCCCCCTCTCATGCAACAGCATCACAGGCAGGGACCACTGCACATCGAGGTGGGGACACCCTGGCTCCCCATCAGGAAGATAAAAAAGAAACGAGCTTAAGCCACTGAAAGATCAACGTCAGGATCTCCCATGATGAAAAAATCAGGTAATAAGGGAGTATGTGCAATAGGACCCCATTTCTACAATCTAAAAAAGGTGCCTTACACTCATGACCCATGCACATACTACTCACCCAGGAAAAAGACTAAGTGGCCCACCTGTGGGAGGTGACAGCATGACAGTGATCATTATATTCCCCAGCCGCTCGCTTTTATTTTCTAGAATGTCTACAATGAACATGTATTACTCTTGTAAAAAATTAAACTAAAAGTTATTAAACACACTAATATTCTTTCAACTGTAGCAAAAAAAAAAAAAGAGCTTTCAGAGCAGTATAACCAACCAGCAAGCAGGAGAGGCTGAGACACAGAGAAAGTTCTCCATCTTCAACAGAGGGCAAGTCATGGCTTCCCCACACAGAAACCCGGACCAACGCAATGGCAAAGACACTCTGCCAACAAAAATACTTCATGGTAAGAAGAACTTTAAGCCTGCTACTAAAGTAGATGGACTATCTTTGCAGCTAACTGTTCCCTATAAGCACTGACCACCTTTTACTATTTTTTGTAAACTTACTCCCTTCCACCCCCTGCATAATGCTGCATGCCCATAAAAATGATGTCAAAGCCTCTTGAAAAATAGGACATGACAGTTCAAAAACAGAGGAGGGAGTATTTGCAAAGATCCACTAATGGAAATATCTGTATCAATGACCTGAAAACACAAAATGTAGCAATACAGATGCACACCTAGTATTTAGTCTGGTCTTTACATTTTTTCAAATGGGCAGAAAATAGACATTTAACGAATTGCATTATTCACCATTAGGATAGCAAAGTGAATTTACCATTTTTGGACATATAAATTTAAGGGCAATGGAGCTTCAGGATTAGCTAAGCCAGAATCAGTGCCAAGATGCTAAACTGAAAAGCCATAGGATGAATCCTGATCCTTTCTAAACTAGAGTTTAATAATTCACTATATATGGGCAGGGGCAGAGGGAGGTTGTACCTTTTATAAGACCATATATGCAGCATGTGCAAAGCCTCTGAAAATATAAGCAGTTTTCTGTCTAAAGCATAAGAACCAGGTCATGATAAGTAAACTTGGTAGATACTTCTATTAAACATGTGCTAAACTGTAACTGCACAATGATTAATCTCCTTCACTTACGTAGAGCTAAAAATGTTTATGGATTTCCAGAGAATGGTGATGGAAGGATAGTATTCAATTTAAATGCTATGTATACAGTTCTTAATTCCATTTCAAAATGAAATTTATGTTCATTCAGATGGATTACTGTGCCTTCACAGTGGTAGGGAGGTAAAAAAGAGAGGTGAACAAGCCCTGTAATTATTATGGATTCTCACCATCATCAGAAAGCACTTATCAAACCTTGCTAGGCATAATTTGGTTGGCTGAGTCAAGTGACTCTCATTATGACCTGGCTGTGCCCGTTTCTGTCCTAACAGCAAACAGCTCACTCTTAAAACTCACACCTTCCAAAGGGCAGGCCTCCTGAGCTACTAATTCCACTCACAGGGCCTTGAAACAGCAGGATTTCCACGGACAGCCCCGCCCAACAGAGGACCCTGGGGCTTCCTCACAGTCATTCCCCTCCCAGGGGCAAAGTAAACTAAGAAGGTAGGAATGAGGTGATAAAAATGTCAGAGGAGGCAACTCAACCAGCTTCAGCTTCCAGAGAAAACAAAAAATATCTACCACCTTCGAGTCCTGGATCCTGACGCTGAGCCAGGGAGGAGGCACCAGCCCTAACAGAGGGAAGGGCTGGCAGGCGAGGCGGGAGCTCCCTTCCACCATCTGCCTGGCTTCTTGTACACAAGCCTCCTCCCTGGACATGGGAATATTTTTAAGGACAAAGAGCTCACTCCCAGCCGTTGCTTTTATTTCTGGGTCTACCTCCCTCCTCCGCAAGTTTAAACTATGAGTTGGAGGCATGATGAACAAACATGCCAAATAAAAGATTTGTGGTGAAGGGCAGAGAAATCCTGGAAACAAATTAACCTTCGGTTGACTTGTTCTGCTGAGAAGGCAGGAGAGAAAAGAGCTGTTTCCGTTCATATTTTTCAGCATGCTGATAAGATTACAGCATTATTCAAGTGACACTTGCTCACACCAGGACTCTGTGATAGCTGCGGTGATGAGGAGGCTGGGGGCCTGCGTGGTGCCAGCCATCGTTTTTGAAGACCTTTGCCCTTCCTTCCTTAAAGGGAGATAGTGGAGCACAGCAGAAGGAACTGCTCCGGGGTAGGACTAATCAGGGTTCAAATCCACCTTTCTCTGAGGCCTGTCAATCATGTGACACCAGACAAATTCTAGCTAACCTGTGTGCACCTCAGTTTCTCATTCTTTTAAGTGAGGCATATCTAATAATGTCGATGTGAAGATTAAGTGAAAAGTAGACACAAAATGATCATGGCTGTGGTTTAATGACTTTCTATGTGCCAGGCAGTGGGCTAAGCACTTGAAATATGTTACCTGCATGTTTGAATTTTGCCCTGTCTGGTGCCTGGAACAGGGGGACACTCAATAAATGTTGCTAAAAATGAGCACGGAACGTTACACAGCAGGCTTGGGAACATGCAGTTCTGCAGACACTTATGCATTTATTAGCATATTTCTGTCACATTCCTAAGTCTCTCACTTGGCCCTGCCTCCTCCTTGGCCTCATGTCCATCCTCCCTGCGCCAGAGAGCCCGCAGGGCCAGCCCTGGGCCCCGTGGTGCCACAGCCTCACAGTGCTCATGACAAAGCCATCTGTCCTCGCAGTGTCCCCCGGTCCTGAGGTGGCTCTCACGAAGCGCCACGCTCCCTCTGGCAGCAGGACTGCCCAGAGTGGTTTAGGGAGGGGCACCCAGCAGCCCCGGGACTGTCAGCGGGTTCCTGCTGAAGGAAGCTCCCAGTTGAGTTTGGAGGGTGTGGTGAGCTGAAGCCAGGAGCCAGTAATGTAAACAAGAAGTGTGACCAAGCTTGTCAGATATTCGGACAGGGTGACCCGGCAAGCAAACGGGTGACAGAGAAGCAGCTGTGGCCTGTTCAGTGGCTGGGAAGGCATTTCAGGATCCCACGGCAATGTTTCATCTCAGCAGGATGCTGTCGTAGGGTTAGCTACTTGTCTGGGGGTGAGAGAGGGCCTGGGGCTCGGGGCAGCTGTGGAAGGGGGTTTAGTCACCTTGCCCTCAAATTCTCCCCTTTGAATTACATCCCACATGCAACTCAAAAAGCAGAGTTCTTTCAAACGTGAGAGGTTTGACAGCTAAGCTGATTCTCGGACAAATCCCTTAGTTTTCCACAGCCTTTGCATTTTCCCATCACCATTGCATTTTAAATTAGAAATGATGATATTACTCAAACTACATCTGATCTCCCATCTCATCACGGCAGGAATCTGGCAGCCCTTATGCCTATCCACCACTTAGTTAGAAATGTAGAGCTTTCAGAGCACTTTCACATGCAGTCTCAAATCAGACGCTCACTTTGGAAACGATGAGGTCAGAGCAGTCCGAGGGAGGGGTCCCGAGAAAAGCCCAGGCAGGAGTAAGACTTGCACGACAGCTAAGTCTTTTAAAACTCAGATTCATTAATTAAAGATCCTGGAACTCCCATTCCTTACATTAAAGAAGGATGAAGGGCTGTTCTGTATAAAAGATTCAGGGTAAATTATGACTTAATATACCTTTCCCTCAAGACTTTAAGACCCTTTACTAACTTTAACAATGCTGTTAATTAATCTTGGCTTAGGTGAATGATACTTAATTTGCAAATGGAAAGCCCAAGATAGAGAAAGTTAGCTACAAGTACACCCAGAATACATAGTTACCCACTACGACCCTCCACTTGGCTTTGTGAGTTTATCACAGATAATAACAGAGAAAAAATACAAATATATATTTCTCTTGTTTTTATTAGTGGTGCTAAAGTCAAGTTCCATAAATCATGCCTGTGAAGAGGAGTGGGACGGAGGGAGGAGGGAGCCGGCAGTCTCTGTAAAAAGGGTAGTTCACACTTTTTACTTCATATATAGAGTATAGAGAAATACTCTATATTTCTCAAATGTTTACAAGCACATGTATCATGTCATTTCTTATTTAGTTTTTTTCAGGGGACATTTCTTCAAAAATAAAAGACAGTATCACACGTTTTGGAGGTTTCATAAAAACTGTTTTTCTGTTTTTTTCCTATCAACCTCCTAACCATTCAACAGTTCTGTTAATTCGGTCAAAACAATCAGTAACTTGATATTAATTTCTACCTTTTAGTCAATTATATAGACAAGATATTAACAGTTTACCTACCTCTCCAAATTTTTAGAGCACCCTTATCCAAAAGTGGTCATTTTCTTTTTTCTTTAAAAAATATATGTCTTATAAAATAACCTGGGTACACTCTTGGCAAAAAGCGTTAGACGATGAGAACAGGAACTGAAGTGTACTGAGCTCCCGTGCACCAAGCACCATGTTGATGCATAACTAACATTGACACATGCTCAGCTTCTCCAGTCACTCAAACCGCCCTGTCAGCCCAATGACGTAAGCATCATTAGCCTCACTTCACAGGTGAGGAAACTAATGTTCACAGAGTTAAGAAACTTGCCTGAGTTTCTCAATTAAGGGTGCAGCTCCATTTAAACCTAGCTTCTCTAACTCCATTACCCATGCTCTTTCTACTAAGTCACTTTTTACTAATAGGTGAGAAAACTGTGGCCCTGGGTAGCAGAGAGCCTACCTTCATGTGAGTTTTGAAACTCCTAAAAACATTAAATTCATGTGCCAAATTCCTTACCTCCTCTGAGTCTGGCAAAAGCTTAAGAAATTCTCGCAATGTCTCTGATCCATAATGCTCACTCTTCCCGTGATGAATATCTTCTACAATGGACTGAGGAGACCTTGAAGAGACAATCAGATTCCATTTCACTTTTGCTGAAGTGCCAAAGAAACACAAGCCAGTGGAAATTAAAACCAATCGCCTCCACTCTCCTTCCCATCCCGCCTTCTTCCCAGGCTGTCAGCTGATCACAGCAGTCCCACTGCCCCCAGAGGCAGGGACCCTGACACACCACTCAGAGGCCCCTTCACTCAGAACCCCATCCCCAGCAATCCCAGAAAGGCTGAACGTGGCACCAACTGCTGGGAGTGTCCTTTGCAAGAAGAGAAACAGGTCCTTTGGTCTCATGGAACTCCTTTCCACTCCAGAGCACTTAAATTACACCACTGTTTGACTCACCAGTGTAACTTCCACTCGGGGCAACATTACAGGTGAAATTATAAATTCCCTGACATGACAGGCCTGAAGAGATGCCCTGGGGCAGTTCTCCCTGTTCTTTGAGCTGCTAGATTATGTTTTCAGGAAGGAAAACAGCAGAAAGTGACAGACACTTGCATCCTCATCAAGCCTTGTGTCTGAGAAGGATTTGAAGGTATGAGGAATGACTTTCACTCATTTTAGAATCTGAGTTTCAGCTCGGTCACACCCACAGACTCTGTTGCTGACAGCATGGATACAGCTAAAGTTTCAAAGTGTGCAAAAATCTTACTTCTTAAATTGCTTAAGAAATATCCCAATGTTCATGCTCCGTTTTGCATCCAAAATAGTAATCTGGAAAAAAATAAGAGACACATAGATTATTAAAGTACAAATAAAAAAAGTTGGAGGAAGAAGAGAATTAAAACCTATCAAAATACTATACTAATTTATGACGATAATTCCCAGTATGTAAATCTAGTGATTCACTGATATACCTAATATGGTCTCACAAATGATAAAAATATCATCTTCCCTGCAATGATCTTTCTGCAATGATATATTTCCTTAACTGTAATAATTACACATACCTATTTTAATGTTGTATACTTTTATATAATAAATATGTATAGTGATATGCAAATAAATATATATTAAATTTTTTAAATTTCGCAATTTCCTCTAAGAATAATATAGCTCACATTTAAAAGCCCAGTTTGGAAATAGATGTCTTAACATAGCAAGAATCATAGGAGATTGAATTAAGAAAGTAAAAAATAACTCTGAGATATTGCAGAGTGAGTCCCAACCCAGACGTAAGGATGTAAAAGGACCAATACTGTTATTTTCAGAAACATAATAAAATTGTTAATGTTTTTCTAAGAGAACACTTTCTTTTCATTGACAAAGAACATATATGTCCAATAGCTCTTTTAGGAGGAGGTAAGAAAGCTCCTACATTTTATTTAGTTGTAATTTAAAAAGGATGACCCCTGTGGTATATTTTCACCAAGTCTGAGATACATCCTTTTTCCACATATTAACATTTCTGGCATCCCAATGTGCCTTACAATGTGTGGCATATTTGATTTATGAAATATGTTGTTTATTCTAACGTATCATCAAAACTCAGATTGTGGCTGCAGTAGGTTTTAGCTGTTCAAAATTAATAATTTGGAATGGTTTTTATCAGACTAGGCATGGGGGAGGTGTTATTAAACACAGAAGCCATGTCTTTCTTTAAAAGTAAATATCCAGGATTCATGGAGGAAAGATACCCTTCAAACTGCTGCATTTTTCCCCCCATTTGTTTTTGAGTAAAGGGAGACTAGCTAAAGCAGGAATGTTGTTATAATGTTCTTCCTTTCCAAATGTATGTGATTCATAGGGAACAAAAGAGAATCAGGTTTCAGATTAAATTCCTGATCCCTTAGCCTGCTTCTAAGTTTATAAGAAGCAGCAAGACTGTTAACCAAACTTAATGGTACTTCCTGACTGCAAGGTTAAATTTTTACAAGAGCATGGTTGCCTTCTTTTGAAGACTAATCTTAAACAATCACATTATTTACTATCCTAGGGATTTACTTCATGTTCACACAATCACCTCCCAACCATAAAATAAACTCCCAAGCTGAAAGGGCAGCCTCCTTACTGGAATCCTACCCAGGGTCTCAGTTCACGTTCAGCGTTGGGAGGGGAGGAGGGGGAAAGAGCAGCTGACCTGTCAGACCTAACACCCTTTAATGAGGAGAGCTCAACCAATAAGAGGAATCCAAATCTATTAAGACAGAAAACTATTTGTTTATTATAATCCATAAAATAAAAAGCCACAAGAACACACATATTGATATAGCGAGATGCATATCCAAAGAACTTCCTCTGCAGTCACTTCTACCCAAAATGAGGAAAAAACTTTTATATCTCTGTCATCAAATTACCACCTCCTGCTATATTTAACCCCTGATGGCAGCACCCACCCTCACCCTCTTCACCCCTCATCCCTCTTAAGACTGTACACTTGGCCTAGATACATAGCTATTGCTGTTGGAGAAGTGATGGAGAAATTACTCTTATTATTCCTACTTGACAGATAAGGAAACTGAGCCTCAGACATGGCAGTTTATAGCTTCCCCAAAGCGATGCTAGATGTGGAGTGCTAGCCTGGGCCTCTCCAGTTACAGTTCCTGTGAGTATTAACATCCCTAAAGGGGCAGGAACAGAGACAAGTGGCATATGTCCCCCCACCAGCCGGGACTGCTCTTCACATTGCGATGTTTCTCCAGGAATGGGCAGATCTCAGAGCTGCAGGAAGCGTGGCCAGGTCCCCTGGTGACCTGAGCTGCACATGTGGGATGATGGCTAGAAATCAGCTGTGACAGCCTCCAGGAGTAGACGCCCAGGCATCCAGGGAACAGCTATCACAGGGCAGCCCCAGCCTGGGGCAGCAGCTGGCTCCATAGCAGGAAGCGAGGCTTCAGACACTGGCCACTAACTGAAGGGAATTCAGAAACTGCAGCTAGCCATCACGGAGCACCATAAGGAAAAACAAAGCCCAGCGCTTCATCCAAGAAGGAAAACAAGACCACTGATAGCCTTTGGGGAGAGTCCCCCTCTCTCCTGGCATCCTCAGATTTGCCTAGTGCATGGGTCACCTCTTTCTCATAGACTAGTGCACTGGACCCTTCTATAGCAGTGCTATAAAAGTGTTTGTTCAAGTCCTTTGAAAAGGGTTATCATACACATGTAAATCAGCTTATCCCACTCCCCAAATGCTGCCTCAAAGCTGGACAACTCAGAAAGGGGCGCGTGCCACTGGCAGTACTCTAGACTCGTGCCAAGCAGTAGCGTCTGCACGGGGGTCCGCAGGAACTCACTGGCTGCCGAGGCTGACCCTCCCTCCCCGCCAGTTCCAATCCATCATAATCTACTTTTCAGGGCACCATAGGACTTGCAGACCAGACTCCCGTGGGTCAGGGCCTGCAGCCGCAGACATTCAGCTGCCCTGGGAGCCTTCCCACTAGAGGCCCACCAAAGAGTTAAGCTTGGCAAACAGGGCAGCAAAATGTCAGGTGACACGCACCCCATCACAAGGATTTCCCCAGGAGGCGAGGGGCCCCGCTGCAGTAACAGTCTCCCCACAGACTGCCCGGGTGGCGGGGCTGCTCTGACGCCCTCTGAAGCACCCCTTCAGCAGTGCTGTGTACCCAGTACTAGGTGTGCATGGCTGCACCACGCCTCCAGGTAAAACTCCAGACCCTCAGGCTCCTAGTTTCTTCTGCTACAATTCTCACATTTTCTCCTCCTACCACTCCATGCAAAATCTGCCTCCCCTTCTTTAAAGCAAGAAGCTTTTGTTTTTTAGTTGTGGTACAATACACATAATATTAACTTTCCATCTTAACTTTTTAAGTGTACAGTGCAGTGGCATTAAGTACACTTACACTGTTGTGCAACCATCCGCATCATCCATCTCCAGAGCTCATTTCATCTTGCAAAACGGAAACTCTGGACCTGTAAAACAATTCACTCCCCATTCTTCCTCCCTACTGCCCCAGGCACCCACCCTTCTGTTTTCTGTCCCTATGAATTTACTTCACGGAAGTGGAGTCATACAGCGTTTGTCCTTTTGGGACTGCCTTAGCTCACTTAGCATAATGTCTTCAAGGTGGAAGAAAAATTTTCACACCACTTTTGCTTCAATACGTCAAAGGGGGCTTCCATGTCTACTTAAGTGACTCTGAATGGCGGTTACTTCAAATCCCATGTCAAATTCTGAAAAGCAAAATTTAAAAAATCTTTCTGTATCATCTAGTGTAGATGTACCTTTTGATTTTTTGATTGTTTTTCATTTGTTTATTTCTTACAAATACATTTCAAATATTCCACCTACCTCTGTAGTTCTGGATTTAGGATGTCCCAGAATTCTAGAACATACTCAGATCATAACAAAAGTTGAGAAAGAATGACTGAATTACAGTGTGGGAGAGTAAGACATTATTTCTCATAAATTTAGAAAAACCTGTCTTCCTTCCTTTCCCTCTCCCTTCCTATAAAGATCAGGAATAATTTCTAGAAAGTGACTTTAGTTCTTTCTTATACGGTATAATTCATGTTAATTGTAAAATTACTACATATTGAATGACCTCAGTGTTTCAACATATGTTGCATCCTTTTTCTTCTTTTACATCAGTTTTATTGAGGCATAACTGACAAATGTAATTGTAACATATTTAAGGTGTACATCAGTCGTGGTGACTTGATACATGTATACATTGTGAAAGGATTCTTCTCATCAAGTAAATGAACATGACCATCACCTCACACATCCATCTTTGTGTGTGTGTGTGTGTGTGTCTGTGTGTGTGTGTGTGTCTGTGTCTGAGAACACTTAAGTTCTGCTCTCACCAAACTTCAATTACACAATAATACAGTGCTGTCAACTACAGCCCCCATGTTTTACATTACATCCTCAGACCTTATTCACCTTGCGTGACCGTTGTGAATTCCAATTTAGACCTGCCATGTCGACACCTGTAAGACAGTCCTATTGCTCCCTTGGTTCAGTGCTGTCAGCTCACCTACCCGTAGCTGTCCTTGGAGGGTACTAAAGGGCTAAGACTGTGCCTTCCCTCAAGAGTGTTCCAGATTCTCGGGGAAGACAAGTACAGACTCAGCGAGCCAGGGCCAGGCTCTGAGGGGGCTCAGGGGCAGAGGTAACAGATGCACTGGGAACTTTTCAGAGGCAAAACCAGCCAACTTGGAAATGAAGTTGGAGTTTGAGCTGAAATCTTTTCATTATTATCCCCAGTACTATACCTTTGCTATTTCTATATACAGTTTAATTATTACTGGAACATTTGCAGCCTCTTCAAGGTAATTTTTAGGTAACAAACATACACAGATAGTAATATATCAAAACCTTTTCCCCTTATTAAATGTTCTAATGTACTATTTTATGTGTTAGTCTTCCTAAATTCAGCCATTCCCAGCCCAGCTTTTCCTTATCTTCTAGCAGCTTCTTCCTTTGGAGTATAGCGGAACATATTTGCAATGCCTTTAAGTCCTTCAGAGTATGAGCCAACCCCAGGATGGCAGGCTGTTTCATTTTCAGGTTATTACATTTGAGGGGCACATAATCTGTCCCTCAGCATGTTTGAACCTCCAGAATTGTGGTCTTTGTTGGAGAGGGTTGGGGTGCCATGTTGCCGTAGCTTTAGGCTATTGCCAAGTCCACACAGACAAATGGTGAGGTCTGTTTCAACCCCGGGCTCACTACAGAGTGAATTGGAAGATTTATTACTGGTCCTTGTTAGACTACCACTCTGCTGAGCTGTAACTTCTTTAGAAGAAAATCTAATGAGAGAAGAAAAAAGCATGGGCTGTATTCTTTTACTAAACAAAAGTATATGCACTACTTTAAGTCATGTTGGAGATAGCCAGAAAAGTTCAAAATAATTCTGGGTAACCCTCTGTTATGTGACAATGTTACCTAATATGCAGTTGAATCCATCTACCTAAATTATTTATCTACTTGAGTATGACGAGTTGAAGAGTTAAAGATTACTTTATGAAACACCATCATGGTGATTTAATTTTTCTTTGTAGTGTGCTATCTCTCAGAACTTAGATGTGTTAAAAGTAAACATACTTGCACACCCACATCCATAGCAGCATTACTAACAATAGCTGGAAGATAGAAATAACCCGTGTCCCCAGATGGATGACTAGATAAACAAAATATGATATATATATATATATATATACACAATGGATTATTATGTGGCCTTAAAATTCTGAGACCTGCTACAACAGGGATTAACCTCAGGAACATTATGCAAACTGAAATAATCCAGTCACAAAAAGACCACATGATTGCATTTATATAAGGTACCTATAGAATTCAAATTCAGAGACACAGAAAGCAGGATGGCTGCTGGGACGGAGGGGAGGGGAGACTGGGGAATTATAGTTTGATGGGCAGAGAGTTTCAGTTCTGCAACATGAGAAGGCTTTGGGGGCGCACGGCCATGGTAACTGTACAATGCGCATGTTTCAGTGACAGATCAGTGCTGAACTGTGCGCTTAAAAATGGTTAAGATGACATGATATGTGCACTTTACCACAATTAAAAAATAATTATCATTCAGTTTCAGAGTTTTTTTTAAGTTAAAGAAAAGAAAAAGTAAAGATGTTCCTAGGTACAAGGGTGGAGGGAGGTGAGAAGAAAAACTCTTTTCTCCCTAAATTTTAGATCGGGCTGAGAATGGGCATTTCTGCTTCTGCCAGAGTTGGGAAAAGACGCAACACTCCTGGCCACTTCTGTCCTTCTAGGAGTGGGTCTGAACTTTTCTGGAATTCACAAGCATAAAGCAGCAAGCTCCTCGTAGCAAAATAAATGTTTCCGACTTACAAGGACCCGCCCATTCTAACTGGCCAGCTGGCTCCCCAGAAGCAGTGGGTAGACCCCCTTCTGGTAGAGGTGCTGTCCTGAGACGCATGCTCTCTTTCCATATGGCCCACCCACTCTCTCCTCCAAAATTCTTGAAGTTCAGTACGTAGAGCTAGAAAACAATGGTGAGAAATGACCTTACTGTACAGTAAGGAGTCTCTGCTGGAAGCTGGGGCAAAGGCCAGGGTACTAAGGAAATGACTTCTTGCTCCTTCCAATACTGAAAGGATACAAAGAAATTAAAGACTTTGCATAAAGGAAGGCACAGGGCAAGCCCCTGTGGGTACAGCGGAGGAGGTCACAAAGGATTGTCCTAAAGACTTCCTCTCAAATTCACTTCACAGTTTACACTTAATTCTAATCCCAGGCTTTTCCACATTTTATAACAAGTTGACTCTTGGCTGTTTCACCAGGGGACCATAAGACCAGCTCCAGGGGCCCCCAAGTGAACTGGTGGAGAGAAGTTAACAAATTTCAGAGCCAGACAGAGAAAAGAGGTCAATACTGTCAGCTGCAGAATCCACTCGTGTCGAGAGCAGCTCCTTCACCCCAGAGCCTTCCCATTCTCTTATCTTGTCCACTCCATCTTTGACCTATTTTCTCTGCTCCTTTGCAACAGATTAAAAAATGATGCATTTGTTGCCCTTTTTTGAGGGGTGGGAGGGATGTGGGGGACAGTATTCTTTCCTTTTAATCCCTGGTTTCCTAATTTTTTCTTCTAGCAAGTAGACATTTCTTAATTTACTTTCCTATTTCTAACAGAATACTTACAAATGCAATTTTTGATTCAGTTTCTACAGTATATGGTAATCTGTAGCTCTGAGGCTTTGCTTTCAGTTAACTTCCTAGAACTTTCCAGCTTCATTTTTTTTCTCAAAGTAACACATTTAGTATAACCAGAACTATGTTTCCTAGAAAGTCTGTCTGAAAAGTGCTCTGTGCTGTGGTTCTCTGGAAATCTGCTCCACAATGGCCATAATTTTACCTCAGGGACCTGAGGAATGAAGGCCATCTCAAAACATCTGGGGAAGGAAAACTAGATGGAAAAGTATGGATACAATCCTAAGGATGTGTATTAGTTAGTGATGTTATTTGACAAAGGCATTTTGTCTCTGAAAGCTCCAGGAACTCAGTTTTTTGTTTCAAGAGAGAAGAACAGTACTGGACTTCAGCAGAACTGCTCCAGCAGCGGAAACGGCCTCAGACATGCTAGAGGTAGGGCGGTGCTGGGAGGCCAGAGGATGGCCCCCAGATAGCATGTTCTCCGCATGAGCTCATAAACCCCCGGGATGTCTGGGAGGACACGGCATGCACGCTTCTTACACTTTTTTGTTACTCAGCTCCAGCTCATCATATAAGGCCCTTTCTATTTCCAGAGCACATTCATTTGCATCATTTTATTTCTTGGTGATTCCAGCAAGTTTTGAAACATACACATCTCCCAAACACGGAACGGTGCAGTGTGTGGAGCATCACCCTCCACGTTCTGTTCTTACCTCTTCTCTAGCGTCTCTGAATGATGAATTTAAGGTTCCTCCTCTCCTCGAAAGGGGAGATTTGATGGCATCTTCTTGCTGCCCGAAGAGCTCCTCAATGGTCTTTGTATCGATCTGGTAGCGATGCTGCTGCCTGGCTGCCAAGGTCCAGATGTTGGTTTTGCCACGAACTTGCTCCTCTGGAATGGTTTTCCAAAAAAAGCTTCTCATCTGCTTTTTCTTACCATGGTGGCCGTAGCCGTTCACGTGAGAGGCCGGGGGCAGTCCAGGCGGGGGAGGAGGGCCCGGAGGCCCCCCAGGCAGTGGGGGCGGGGGTGGAGGAGGAGGACAGGGAGGAAACCCCTCCCCTGAACAGGGACATGGAGGAGGAGGAGGAGGAGGAGGGGGCGGTGGCGGGGGTGTCTGCCCGATCATGAATCCAGCTGCCGTGGCGATATTCCCATTTTCTTTATCACTGACCAAGGAGACGCAATTCATAACATGCATAGTACTGTTGCCTTCTAAGGAGATGATTTCTTGACCTTGGGGAAGCAGACACAGACATCAAAGTTGTGTCATACTTTTCCACCCGCTGTGCCGCCAAAGAGAAAGGCAACTGTGTTGTATGTCATCTTCCAAACCTACAAAGATAAAACAACTTTAAAATTCATACAGAAAAACGTTTCAGTGCTGGCTGCCCCCTTCAGAGGTTCATGCCCGTCCCCGTGGACTAGCCGGGTCTGAGTGTCAATGAGAGCCCCGCATCCAGGAGAGAGCCTTGAAGGGGACCGATGCTTTTCTAAATGTGAACCAAATTTTACTGCTTGGAAATGCTGCCAAAGCAGCAGCAATAAATCCAACTTGGAAACCTTCCATGAATCAATAAAACACGTATTTATGGAGAACCTGCTAGAGGCTCAGCAAGCATTGCTCACTCTATGAACTGCCTGTTAACTGGTTGGCTCATTTTCTCTGGGCAATGGATAGCCAGCCCCTACGGAAACTACCCAAACGGCTAAAGCCTTGGGCATTAGTGACCCCACCTTTCTCCAGTGTGGACACGTTCCCTACCGACCTGTTGGCTAAAGTGTGTTCTTCACCTTGCAGGTAATAGGCAGGGCATTTGGAGATGATAAAATAGGGGCAAATCCATTCCCCTGGAGTCAGAGCCACCAAGGTCCTGCTTCTCTTGGCGGTGTGGCGACCCCACAAAGACAGAAAAGAACACTAGACGTGAAGATTAAAGGTTCCAGCTCTAAATCAAGCCTTACTGCTTACAATATCAGACAAGTCATTTCACCTCGCTAGACTTTAGTTTTCTCATTTGTGAAACGAGGAGGCTGGGATACATTACATGACCTCTATCGCAGCTTCCAATGCCATCATCCTGGATTCTAGTTTAGCCACTCTTTGGAAATCACCAGAACTTTCACCTGCTTCTTCTGTGACACTGTTAGCCAAGAAGACACACGTGTGCACACATGGGCACACACACACACACACACACACACACACACCTGCTGTATATCTACCCCTTGTCCACACAGTCCATGATTTATTTGGGTGGCTTGTGTTTTTATTGACCTTTAAAGGTTTCTTTCTGGTGTTGGGTTGCTCCGGACCTGATGTGAAAACAGGGGTCAGAACAACTACACTTCTTCAGATGTGAGGACAGGTAAGTGGGGATGTGGGAGGGACCCCGTGCAGGCTATGGAGTGAGTGAGCACTACAGGCGTGTGAAACAGGAACTGTTTCCTCCAGGCTGTAAAGGGCCACATTGGAGGAGCTTTTTAGAAAGCTTCTGAGTATCAGTAGCCTTTTACAGCACCACTGGCAAAGCTCACCCTTCCACACACATTGGTCAAACAATACCGCTTACAAAGGAGTAAACTTTCTATCAACGAATTCAAATATATGAAATGTTTTACACAGAGCCATATACAAAAGGCAAGACTGCTTGGGGATAAGAGTGAAAACTCCAGAAATGGCCTGCTTTTCCTCAGATCCCAGTTCTGCTACTTCTTAGTTGTTTAACTGAGGTGAGTCCTGAACCTACATTTCAGTATCTTCATCTATAATAGAAGGATGTACTGTTTCATTGGTTTGTGTAAGATAAAATGAGCTACTACATGTGTGGTCTTTACCAAGAAGACTGGTGCATATGGTTTCATATGTACATACGATTTCTTTTTATTTTTATAGGCATTACATTTGCTCTAAAATATGAATTGAGTTTATAGATAAAATGCTAAGTCACTCCTGGCTGCTAGAAATATAACTTTAATACTTCCATTCTCTGCTTTCTAAATTACTAGGTTTGTGAGATCTGTTCTTTTTCAGTACTTGCTGATTAAATTATCTCTATGAAATTACTTCTCCATCACAAAAACAAATGTTGTTTATCAAACACTTGGCTGTTTAAGTTCTGAAAATTATACATGGGTAGAAAATAGCATTTCCAACATTAATTGAACAATTTATTTTGTACCATTTAACCATTTTTAAGTGCACATCACTGGCATTAAGTGCATTCAGTTTTTTGGACAGCCACCACCACTGATAATTTTTTAGAAAGTAAAACCAAAAATATCTATTTAAGCCAACTTACAGCTCACTTGAGATGCAAATGGCTTTTAAAAGTTATCATCAGGGGCATAACCTGGCTGCTTTCACACTTGCCCCCCTAAAGCAAATGACTAATTGTCGGTTACAGTTCATAGTTATATCTGAATCCTTTTTTTCAAGACCGTACAGGTAATCTTGGCAGTTTACCCTTATATATTTTAAAATACTGCTGTACATAAATACCTCATGCATAGAAAAGTTGCTAATCCTCTAGTTCGCCTCCATTCCAGTATGCTGACTTGTTTATAGATTACCCCTGTTGAGAATGGTGATAAGCTAAAAAAGTATGTATCCTAGAAAGCAACTCATTCAGGTCTGTGTAAGTATATGCATAGATGTGCCCTTAAGCCTCACACAGCAAATGCAGAGATACCAATAAAGAGTGAGAAACACTACAGGTTAAGAGGGTGTACAACAGCACTGTCTTCTAACACTAAAGCTCCAGGGGATGCAAATCTTTTTGAGTATTGTGCGTTGTACAGAGGAAGTACCATGTAAAAGCTCATCAGAGTGAAAAGCAACACGTGTTAGCCATGCATTGGGGCCCGATTCTAACCATTACCCCATCTTGAAAAAGAATGTCATTTAAAAAAGTTAGAAGAGTAAAGGATTTACTATATTGTTCCTCATGTTGTCTGGCTAATTTTTTCCCAAGGTAACATACAAGGATCCTAGGCCCCCAACAGCTTCTAATGAATAAGTTCTTCAGCAACGATTAGCTCAGATGCTAATGCTTTTAAGACGGGCATCAATAGAGCTTTAACAGGTCTTTGATAGGGCTTTCCCCTAGGCCAGGATTTCCAATGTAAAAGAGATGGTAGGAAAGCGTGCAGATAGCCATTTTAACCCCTGCCACAGTCTCTTGAGATATCAAAACAGTGGATACACAAAGAACATTTGATTTACAATGATGTCCACAGTAAAGATGCAAACGTACACTCTCCGAGTATGCCAGGAGAATACAGGCAATGCCACAGCCCTGAAGACACTGGCTGTTTCTCACCGGTGGCAGTTGCTGGCAGGGACAATGGAATTAGCCTTGGCTCTGTCTGGAAAATGTCAAGTGTCCCATCAATCTCCCCAGGGCAGACAAAGACAGGCTTGTATTTAACATCTCACCTACAGGTTGGGGAACCTCAGCAGCAGGGAGGAAGGCTGCTAAGGCTGACAAATGCCCTGCCTGAATAAAATGTAGAGCTGTCACCGTAAGGCTCTGAAGATAAGAACTTCTCTTTAAGCCCCTTGAGTATTAATCATGACCCATACGAAGTGTGTCTGGTGACGGACATTTCTGGGGAGGTCATAGCTCAGCTGAGCATCTTCTAACTGTGAATTTTTAATAAGGGGATGCAGTGACCATGTACTTTGTCTTTAGCTTATTAGCAAGCAAAAAGTCTTCAAATGAAATATTAGGTAGGACCCTTCCTAAACTCTCTTGCCTGAACAGCCAGCATTACTTTGCTTCTGGTGACAGAAACATTGCTGAATCTCTATTGTCTTGAAGGGGGAGGGTGGGAGGAAAGAAAAGCCAGTTTCTATGCTTCATTTCACAGTATATTTAAGAGGAAAACATGTTCCTGAAAGTCAGTTCAGAGCTCAGAGCCTTCCTGAGAGAGAGTTAGTGAGGCCTAGCTGCTCAACAATAATCAAAAGTAAACGCCAAGGAAAACCACCAGAAAACCTTTTCCCTTGATTCCTGACAAGTGTCACAGATGAGGTGAGGGCAGGAAGGGCTGGCCCACACCCTTCGATGACAAATGGGGGCAGACCAGGCAGGGTTTGGAAAGCAGAGGCAGAGGAACACAGTCCTATTTTATTTGCAGGAGAAGAAAAGGTGGGAATTGTACAGGCACTTCTAAAATTTGCTCACTCCTCCAGCTCACTGGGAAAAGGCTCCTGCCCCAGCCTTTTTCAGACACAGACTGTCACCCACACAGTCGAACAGAGTTGGCAGCGTCCAACTCTTTTTGGCATTCTGGCCGGCAGGGAAAGAGCCCGAGACTGTTTCCAGTCAGCGTGTTTAATCTGCAGCACAACATAAACAGTTCACAGATGCCCCGAACGCAACAGGCCGAGAGCAGAGAAAGAACGCCTGTTTTTGACTGTGCATGTTCAGTTCCTCTCAAGTCCCAAAAATCAAGGGGGGAGGGGGTAGCAAACGAGGGCGCCAAAAGATGCTCTAGAGGAAGGAGAGGAAGCGCTGGCTCGGTCCAGGAAGACGACTGTGAGTCAGGAGAGAGAGTCACCGACGGCCCCAAACCAGGGGCAATTTCTGCCCAAACAATTGTTTGAAAACCGACTACGAGTCCTGAAGAGACTCGGCGTGGAAGGGCACCGGGGACACAATTTCTGTCAAAGCCTGGACACACAGCAGTTTCCTATGTAGGTCCTTGCACTGGCGAGCAGTCCCCCGTGTCCTTCCGCCCCCCGGCCCCGCGTCCCAAGTCCCGCCCCAGCTACTCACCCGAACGCCACCAGCTCAGCCGCACAAAAGGCTCGGAGGGTGCGGCGAGCCCCAGGCCGGCGGCGGCCACACCGCCGCGTCCGCCCGGATCCCTGGGGAGCCCCGCTCGGCGCTCGGCGGCAGCAGGAGGGACGCGAGCCGCAGGTCCCCGCGGGCCGCGTGCCAACCGCTTATCGGGGCGGCGCCGCGAGCCGGGTGGGGCTGGGGGGGAGCGCCGGTGCAGGCGGAGATACACGCCCACACGCGCTGCGCAGGCTCCCCGGGCCGCCGCCGGCCGCGCCGGGACGAGCGGGACCCGCAGGACCGACGCCCGGGAAGGGCAGGACCCTCTGCCTCCCGAGCCCCCCGAGCGCCCGCACGTCCTCAGGCAGAGGAGCCCGGAGCAGCCGCCGCACCCCCTTGGGCCGGCGGGGAGGGCCAGGGGGTCGCCGGGTCCCGCCCCCACGTCCCAGGATCCCGGGCTTCAGAGTCCGCCTCCCACCACGCCGATCGGGGCGCCTACCCGGTCCGTGGGGGCAGCTGCACAGCTCCCAAAGCGGGGGGCAGGGGGGTGGCTGGGGGTAACTGAGGAAGTGCCCCTGCGCTTGAAGGAAAGGGGGGGGTCGTCCGGGTGCTCAGACACCGGCTCCACCCCTCCCGAACCTCCGCGGCGACACCTCCCTGCGTCCGGGACCCGAGAAAGCCTCGCGGCCGCACTGCGACTCAGCCGGAGGGAGCAGGGAAGATCCGGGGAGAAAAACATAAAGGGGAGACTCCTGGTGTTCGGTCGGAGGATTAAACCGAGAGCCCTCTGTCCCCGAGCTGGGTGAACCGGCAGCCCACCCGCCTCCTCCCCCAACTTCCACAAACGCAGGGCGCAACTTCTAACCTGAACTTTGCACGGCCAGAACGAGTGTGCAAGAGAGTCGCCTTGTCCTGGGTCCGCATCACCCGGTCCTCGCCAACCCCGCACCCGCTGTCAGGAGGGGCAAGCTGTGGCTCCGGGCTGGCCAGAGTCCCGGCGCGGTGCCCCCAGTTCCGCGCGCTTTTACCGGCTGCGATCAAGAGGGGGTTGCAGTTTATCCAAACGTCTTAGCAGCTAAAGCTAGGTCAGCCCACCCAAGTCCAGCCCCGAGGCGGCCGCGCGACCTGGCGTCCGGACCTAGCCTCTGCGGCCTGGGGACACTGGCTGCCAGAGTCCCCCGGCGAGTGCGGACAGAGCGCGCGCTTCCCGGGGAGACTCGGAGCCTCACCCGGGCCCTGGTGGTCCCGCCCCCGCCCCCGGAGCCGGCGCTCCCAGGCAGCGATCGCCCAGCCTCGGCCAAGCAGCTCGCACTCACCGCGGCCGGCGCTCCCCGCGCCCGCTCCTCGTTCCTCGCTCCCCGCTGCCCGCGGTCTGCGAGCGCCGCCGCCTCTGCCCGGGTCTCCGCGACCGCGGCCGCCTGGGAGCGCGAGGGGGCAGGGCGGCGCGGGGCGGGGCGCGGCGGCCGCCTCAGGTAACAATGCTGCAGTCGGGCTGCGCCCCGCGCCCGCCGCCAAGGGCAGCACGCCCTGTCCTGCTCGGCCCCTTCCCCTCCGAGCGCCCACGGGGGCCCCGCGGCGCTCACCTTCACCTGCGCGGGGCCCCGGGGCCTGGGAGCCTCCAGCCCGCACGCTGCCCCGCGCACCCGCAGGCTGGCGCGCGGCCCGCGGCCGGCCGCCGAGGGAAGTACGGGCGGCGGGGGACGGGGAAGAACTGCCAGGTGTCCTCGTGGCACCGGCAAGGGGAGGCGCCAGGCTGGCTCTGAACCCGCAAGTGCCTTCCACAAAGGAGCCTCTGCGGCAGCCTCCGGACACCCTCCTCTGCGCACACGCGCGCGCGCGCGCGCGCGCACACACACGCTCCGCGCGCTCACACTCACGCGCCCCGGGCCACCCCTGCCCCACGCAGGTTTCTCCTTGAGCACTAGGCAGCATTTGGGCGGGCAGTCCCCGCACGCGTGGCCGAGCCCCCGCCGGGTCAGAGCTTCCCTAAGGCCAGCTCCTCCCTGGGACCTACCAACCTGTAAATGTGTTCTTTTCTTGTTTCAATCTCTCCTACGATGATGGGAGCAGGAACCTTTCGGTTATATTTAACAAGAAGACGAGGGAAAGAAAGTCTGCTCCATGCTTGATCGCTTGAACTGACGCTGCCTGGGAAAAGCTCTTCACAGGGACAGTTTAATCGCACCGTTTTGCAAAGTGACTCGTGACGCCTGCAGTGAGAAACCAACTGGTAGTCAAAGAAAACTCAATCCAGGCAAACCCGCCCGTCGGAAATCAGCGACAGGGGTTGGGGAGGCGCCCTCTGCGGGGATGAAGTCATCGCTACCTTTGACTCCCTGATCCCAGATAACAGAGCAGGACTTTTTCAGCTTCTAGGGCCTGGTGACTTCTGCCTCTCCCCCTGGTCCTCAGCCCTTGAACTCCCCTGACAGATTTCGTGTCCCCCATATGGAGAGAAAAAGAGAAGCTATTAGGGCAAAACCCAAACAAAAACAAGAGCCGCGCTGGCCACCAGCTCAGTTCCTAGTCATTAACCAGCCTTACACCAACCGTGAAGAGAAAGAGACCCAACTAAGACCACAGAATATCTCAGAGTGGGAAATGTAACAAAAAAGAAAGCCCCTTGCTCAGGTAGTTCATATTAATCCCTAAGGAATATTGACAGCACAGGCAGTTAAATTACAGAATATCACAAGTGAGGTGCAAATGGCATCCTCTCCTGGTCTGTGTCAGCCTCGCCACACAAGGAATCTACACCCACCGCACACTTTCCACGCTTCAGTCTGCCTTTCAACCCGGCCTTCCCATGCACTGGCCTGAGCATGCATTCTAAAGCCAGTCACTTCCCAGGGGCCAAGTGCGGGGATCCCTACTCGGGCCCTGCACCCCTTTGCTCTCCCAGCAGCACCCTGGCCTCCAGGGCTTCTCCGTGCCTCTTGCAGTCTCTTCTGCTGACCCTTCCTGTCCTTTGAGGACAGTAACTGGATTCCTCCTCCCCATTCTCTCCCATTACCCCATGGATACGGCCTTCTGACTTCAGTCAGGATGGGTCCAGATTTTGTGGGGCCTGGATAATGTGTAACCCTTGAGGGAGCTTTTTGAAGAAATACAACAAAACAGCAGTAGGTATGTGTCTTTGGAAGTGTCCCAGCATCCACTTCTATCTTCCCCTCTGTGTCAGACACCCCTGAATCTATATTGTCCCTGTAATATCTCCAGTGCAAATTCGATATCCAAAAGTCAACTCATCTTTCAAAACCAGTACTCTTCTTGCCCATACCCCTTAAATAAGACTGATTTTTAAAATCTGAAATCCCAGCTCTCCTCTGGTTCGATTTTCTTCTCTAAATTCCTTAGTATCCAAGTATTTTCCAGACTTGTTGCCCTTTCCCCAGTGATACCTCTTGCACTGGCACTTTAGATGCCTGGCGCCACAGCTGCCCCGATCAGAGCAAGGGCAGCTGATACCCATCAGCTGCTGGCATGTGTCAGGCATCACGCTGGATTCCCCCAGCAATCCTGGGAACCCTGCATTCTGTATCTTCTGGCTTTGAGAAGTTAAACCCGACTCCCAAATCCATCACCTCAGCATCTCTCCTCTCACTTGGCTGTCAGGTCAGTGTTTTTAGAAGTCTGGTTTCACCACATTACCTATCGTTCAAAACCTCTATAGATTCACCTATGTGCCTACAGGAAAGAGGTGGCATTCTTGTCTGATCCTCTGGTGGCAGCCTACCTTCCACCTCCCCCAGTTTGAAGCATCCCACTTCACTCAAGCAGCATTGTGTGCTGCCCCTAAATGTGTCATCGTTCTCATTCTGACCCTCGTGGTCTGTGTCTGCGCGTCAGGTGGCTAGAGAGTACTTGACGAGAGTGGTGCATGACCCTGAAGTAGAGCTAATGTCTCCCTGGAGTGCATGAAGGCTGCCAATGTAGAGGACAATTTATTCTTTATCTATTAACATGCTGATTATTAACTACATACTCGTCTCACCTGTTTATGCTTAGGAGTTAAGATGTGCTCTTCATCTGTATCCCAGAAATGTGCCAGCCACTCTGCCAGGAATGCTGGAAAGACTTCTGAAGCCAAGGGGCCTGAAGCCAGCCGAGACCCTGGGATCTGGGGCTTGGGCATGGCTGCTGCTACTGGAAGGCTCCTGAGCAGTGGGCAGTGCGGCCGGCCCATGCTTTTCCGAACAAGCCAGGCCTCCCAAGGAATGTGCTAGTAGCTTCGTGTGGCCCGGGCAACTGGCCTTACAGGTGCCAGCTCCAAGCCCTGCAGAACTTCTCTGTTTGCAGCTTGCTCCCCTCTCCCAGGCTATCTATTCCACATGGCTCCATTTCCTTTGCCCAATTCATTCTTCTCTTCTAGCTTCACCTCCTTAGCCCTGAGATGCTTCCAGTTTCTTACACCAAGCATTTTGTATTTAAATCTGTCATTAGGAGCCACTAAGCAAAGCCTTCAACCCCAAATGCACCAAATTTTGGGATCCAGTCTAAAGAGTACCTTACAGTTCTAAAACAAGCTGATTGCTGAAGGAGTAAGTCTGCTCTATGAGCTGACATCATAGGACCCCCAGGGAACCACGAAGGACAGGACACACTGAAATGAGTCCCCTCTGGCACAGGATTGAGGCGTCAAACTGATTCTAAAATCTCTTCTCTCTTTCTCTGATACAGACTGAGATTAACTTAATCTTTATTCCTCTTAAATATATCTGATGAGATTAGTTGTTCCATATTTAGATGATAGGCTGTGTCTTTGCTTTTAAAATTGGAAACTGCAAAAGAAACAAACTCTACCAACTGTAGTTAAACAGACTTGCAGGCAAATGCAAAGGCTCACCAATCCCTCTAGTAACAGCCATTTCTAGAAGAAATTGCTAGACCTTGTTTCCCACAAAGGGTGGAAAGGGTAAAATGAATAAATCAAACAGATCTAACAAACAGATTGTTACCATCACTATGAATGCAAATTTGCATAAAAGGCCTTATTGGCAAAATGCAGACTCTGTATTACTGTAATTTTCCAAACAACTTTGAACTGACACAATGATGTTTTATTTTTGCAGGCTAGGAAATTTAAATAGCAAATTGCTTTTAAATATAGTAAATAATGACTAGGTTCTGATCTTAAGAGGGAGAAACTTTTTCTGGATGCTAAGTAGTGATTTCTGAAAGTTTTAAATAGAAAATGCTTTCACATGTGATGCTGATATCCATGGTAGCATCAACGGCATTTCCCTTGTTAGAAGTAAATACAGGCACTTTGTCAATAATAGTGCCTGATTTGTTTGAGCATATGAGAGACTGCAGCCAAGCCTTACCCAATATATAGGAATGAAGTAGTTAGACACTCAATGACCCTTGTCCCCATCTATCTATGTTTCCTTAGAACAAATTGTCCATTCTCTCCTTTTTAAGGTGTGTTTGTGTGTGTGGGTGTTGCAGCAGGGATGGAAGAGGAGAATAAGAAAAGAGAAATGCCATATATATCACTAAGTTTGCACCCAAAAAACCTTCAGCTAGGTCTTTTCTTTTTTGAGGAAACATTTACAATTTTTATTCATAAAATTATTAATCAAAACAGCATAAGTAGATTTACAGAGCCCCATAGCAGTAACAAAACAGAAGAAAACAAATGTTCCAGAGAGATAACAAAGTTTCAAAGGGACACACACCAGGCTAAAAATCTGCAGTTAAACCATAGTTGCACAATAGGTAGGTTATATTCACTCCTGCATTTTCTCAATAAGTTCTTCCTTATATTTGTGTTTCTCTTTACCAACTTGAGATTTGGCTCCGCGTTCAAGAATTTTTTCCCGATCTTTACCCAGCTTTGGCCTGGTGATCACCACCTTGCTTGAGTGAATGCCCACGTGGACAGTTGTGCCCTCAGCTTTCTCACGCAGCCCCCGCTCGATGTAGATGACATACTTCTTTCTGTACACCTGGACTACCTTGCCGATTCGCTGACCTCGATAGTGTCCTCGAACCACCTGGACCCCATCGTCCCCGCAGATGAACACAGGCCAGGTTATACTTCTGCCCTAGCTCCTTGGAGAGCTGCAATAACATGATCTTCCTGCGCATGTGCGAGGGGGCACTGAAGTGGCGTTTGCGGTTTTTGCTGCAGTCCAAGGTCACCGAAGGGGCTGAACTTCATGGTGACCGTCTGTAATGAGAAGTGAGGGAGGGAGCGAAGGGGCTAGGCCTTTTTTTAGTTTACAATTGATACAGTGCTTAGAAAACTGGCTGGTGTTAATTATAAAGGTAGGGTCTGTTATTACATTGATATTTTGAGGAGGAAAATCGTTTTAGAAAATAACATGAAAGCATATCACTTCTTTCCGCTACCCATCTTGAAACACAAGTGTGTGAGTCTCAAAAGGGATTAAGTTAGGTCTGTCAGATGCCAGTTTCTTTTGCTACTGGTTTTAACTTTTCAAGTTGTTTATCCTTCTAAGAAGTTAAAAGAGCAAACAGTAATTTGAAACCATACCACACACACTAGGCAGTCTCCAAACAGAAACCAGTGAATTAACACTATTGGTATGTGGTG